TCTTTCTCTCTCTTTAAAAGCTTTACTGGTTTTGTTTCTCTAGAGAACCCAGTCTAACACAATACCTGACTTTGTGTTCTTGAGCCACACTTTGAAATCTTGTGTTTAGCCCTTTCACTTTATCATTTCTTCCATTAGCTTTAGATACTCTCCACTCAAGAACAAGTTTCAGAGTTTCTTAGTTTCTTCTGACATCCATTTTCTTTCTTTCTTGCCTTTTTAGTGAGCTTTTGTTTTTTTCGTATATGATATCCTTGATGTCATCCTACAATTTATTTGTCTGGTGTTTGGTCATTGGTGTTCAATGCATGAAACCTATTTTTCAGATGGTCTCTAAATTCAGGTAGGTCCTATTTTAGGTCTCATGAATTGTTTTAATTTTCTTCACTTCAACTAGAAGTTGCATTAAGAAATTGATGGTCTGTTCCATAGTGGTCCCTGGCCTTGTTCTGACTAAAGGTTGGGGAATCTATTTCCGTAGTGATACTGCCTCAGAAACCCAAGGAGGGGTTGCTATGAGTTGGATCTGACTCGATGGCAGTGAGTTTTTTTTATCCCCTCTTTCTAGAGATGTAGTCTATTGATTTGTGTGTATTCCATCTTCTGAGGTCCACGTGCATAGTAGCTGTTGTTGAAAAATATATTTCCAATAATAAGTTGTTGGTCTTGCAAAATCCTATCACATGATTTCCAGCTACATTTCTATCATCAAGGCCGTATTTTCCAACTAGCGATCCTTCTTTGTTTCCAACTTTGGCATTCCAAACATCAGTAATTATCAATGCATCTTCATTGAGTGTTTAATCAATTTCAGACTGCAGAAATTCATAAAAATCTTCAATTTCTTCATCTTTGGCTTTAGTGGTTGGAGCATAAAATTGAATAATAGTAATATTAATTGGTCTTCCTTATAGGCGTATGGCTATTATCCTGTCAGTGACTGCATTGTACTTCAGGATAGATCTTGAAATGTTCTTTTTTGATGATAAATATGATGCCATTCCTTTTAAGTCTGTCATTCCCAGTGTAATAGACCGTGTGATTGTCCAATTCAAAATGACCAATACCAGTCCATTCCAGCTCACTAATGTCTAGGATATCAATCTTTAGGTGTTACATTTCATTTTTGACAACTTCCAGTTTTCATAGATCCCACATTCTGATTATTAATGGGTGTTTGCAGCTGTTTCTTCTCATTTTGAGTCATGCCATATCAACAAATGAAGGTCCCTAAAATTTTACTCCATCCAAGTCATTAAGGTCCACTCCAATTTGAGGAGGCAGCTCTTCTCCAGTGATATTGTGCGTGCACTTCCACCTGAGGGACTCATCTTCCAGCACTGTTTCAGATGATGTTTCACTACTATTCCTAGGGTTTTCAGCAGCTGATTCTTTCAGAAGTGGACCTGGCCAAGTCCTTCTTCCTAGTCTGCCTTAATCTGGAAGCTCCACTGAACCCTGTCCAACATGGATGAATCTGCTGGTATTTGAAATTCTGGTGGCATTCCTTCCAACTACACAGCAATACTCACACCACAAGAGTACAACCAACTGACAAACTAAATAACAGTGCAATTATTTGATACCCATCAAGCTTTATTTAGTATTTACTATTATTGAACATCCATCCACAGGCATGGGCCAAGTAGAGGGGTGCTGTCCTTTCAATTTTCATTCATTCACACACTCCCTCATACACTCATTCAGTCAATCAATATTTGTTGAGTTTCTCGGAAGGTGGCAAGCACTGAGCTTTCTTGCTGTCTGAGCCCAGGGTCTAGTACAGGAGTTCATAGGCTAACACAATGCTGTGTTCCCAGAATGCGTGTGTGTGTTTAGATGCAATGCATGGGCAAGGCACTAAATAACACTGAATTTCACATCTGGAAAACTATTACCCTTCTGGTACCATTCCATCTTTCTCATTCCATTAAGAAGAAAGTCCTAAAAACCACTGCCATCAAGTCAGATCCAACTCATAGCAACCCCTCTCTGGGTTTGTGGCTGGTGGGTTTGAACCACCAGCCTTCTGGTTAGCAGTCAAGTGCCTTAGGCACTACGCCACCAGAATTCTTGAAGAAAGTCCTAGTTGGGTGTTAATATGTCTTTAACAAGAGGAAGACCCAACAATGGGCTCAAACATAACAATGATTGTGAGGATGATGCGAGACCAGACAGTGTTTTGTTCTGTTGTACCTAGAGTCGTTAAGAGTTGGAATTGACTCCATGGCATCTAACATCAACATTATTTGTTAACCTCATCTTTTAATAAATAAAACAAGACCTTTGACTCAGCTTCTTTGGACAATGCCCAGAGAGATTTTAATAATATGGATATTTCCCGCTATTCAAACCCAGAAACCCAACAGACTTTTGTTTATTTATTTCTTCCCAAATGGTGCACAGATATGGGCAGAATTTGTGAAGATGGGTCAGGTATGAATGAAATTTGGCAAAATGCTGAGCTACAAAATTTCCTCTCCCTCCTTTTTATCAGCCCCATTTTACAGTCAACGAAACTGAGTTTCTTTGTGGAGGGGAGGGACAGAAGGAAGGGGTTTATTTTGTAAATAGTGGGTCAAGCAAAGCCAAGGAAGCTCTTTGTGGCAGTTATGTTCCCGGGTGCCCTCCATTCGATTCTCAATTCACAGTGACCCCTTGTGACAGAGTACAACTGCCCTGGGAGGGCCACTGAAAAAGAGGAAGACCCTAGTGGCTGCAACAACGGGCTCAAACATACCAATGTGAGGACGGCCCAGGACCAGGAAGTGTTTTGTTGTTTTGCTCGGAGTCGAAATTGACTCTGTGACAGCTGACAACCACCATCTTTACAGGGGCAGATCACCAGGCCTTTCTCCTGCCGAGCTGCTGGGTGGGCTGCAAGGGCCAACCTTTAGGTTCGCAGTTGAGCGCTTAACAGTGGCGCCACCAGGGCGCCAGGTGGTGGAGCTATGCATTTGTAGTTATGTATATATCTCCTCCACGTCTGCAGAACGTGTGTGCATATGTGTGTAAGTGTGTATGTGTGTGTAAGTGTGTGGAGCCACAGGCCTTCCCGAATGAATGACAGCGGGAGCCCACCCCTTAAGGATGCGAGTGCAGAAAGACCAATGGGATGGAGGGGGGTGGACAGAACCAGTCTCTGCAGAGGCCGGGGTGGGATCCGCGGCGTCCACCCTCTGCACACATCCCACCCCCAGGTCCTTCCCCTCTTGGTACTCCCTTGGGGCCCCCTAGGTGCTCCTCTTCTCAACGCAGCCCCGGGGCCAGGCCAGGGTGGGGGTGGGGGTCGAGGCTCAGAGCTGACGAGCGCCGGCTGCGGTCCCAGCGCCGCAGCGCTGCGGCGGCGAACACTTTGCTGCTAGGTCGGCTGCCGCGGGGTGCCAATGTGTAAAGCAGCTGGCGGCGCGGGGCGGGGCCTGGGCACGATGCAAATGAGGGAGGTGGGGTCAGCCCGGGACTCCGCCTCCCTCCTCCGCAGCTGGGGCCAGCGGTGCCAAGCGCAGCTGGACGAGCGGCGGCAGCTGGGCGAGTGACAGCCCGGGCTCCGCGCGCCGCGGCCGCCAAAGCAGGCGCAGGGAAAGCGCCCGCGGCCCCAGCGGCAGCAGCGGCCGCCTCCTCTCGCCTCGCGGGCCCACAGCCCGCCGTCCCGGGCCGGCCCCTCTCGGGCTCCCGCTCCCCGCGCGCAAGATGGCTGACCCGGCTGCGGGGCCGCCGCCGAGCGAGGGCGAGGAGAGCACCGTGCGCTTCGCCCGCAAAGGCGCCCTCCGGCAGAAGAACGTGCACGAGGTGAAGAACCACAAATTCACCGCCCGCTTCTTCAAGCAGCCGACCTTCTGCAGCCACTGCACCGACTTCATCTGGTGAGAGCGCGCGGGGCGCAGGGCGCCTGCCCGGCACCGAGGGCAGCGCGGCGCGCGGGGCCCCGTTCCGCGCCCCCAGGGGCCCCGCGTCCCCAGGCTGCCCGCTCGGGACCCGTCCGCGCTGGACTCCGCGATGCACTGTCCTGTGGCGTTCTTCTCCGCGGCCCCAGACGGCCGGCTGCGCGGCGCTTCCTGCCCGCGCTTCTTCCCCGGCCCCTCGGTAGTGCCGCGGGCGCCTTTCCCTCCACTTGGCTCCGAGCGCGCGGCGCCTGGCCCTCCTGGGGAGAGCAGCGCCTCGGGTGCCCTTTCGCCCGGGGTGCCTCTCTCTCCTTCCTTCTCTCTCCGCCTCCTTCCGGGCGGGAGGCACCGTCACCCCCACCCCTTTCCGGGGGCAGCGCCCCGGCTGTCCTCAGCTCCCTGCGGGCATGGGGCACCCTTTTCTGCTGACAGTGTCTCAGGGGCAGCGCCCTGTGTTCTCTTTTACTGCGCCTCCCTGGGGGCCTGGAGTGACCATTTCCACTCTTCAGTCCATCCCTGTCACTGCAGGTCCTCTTCTCGCCTGTCCATCCGGGCGTGGGGGCCCCTCTCTCTCCCTTCCCAGCCCCCGCGGGGGACGTAATCCTCATCCTTCTCTGGGTGCGTCTTTAAGCTTACCTTTCCCCGAGGGTTCTCGGGCATCCGTGGGTAGATCCCCCTTTGGCACTGCACTCCCAGCCGGATGGGAACGCTCCCTCCCCCACTCGGTGGTCTCAGCCTCCTCTCTCCTGTCTGGGTGAGGGGAACTGGCGGTTCCTGCCACCTATCCCGCAAAGGCGGAAGCCTCTGAGCACTGGCCTGCTGCTGGGAGATTGCACCTGGGCTGAGGGTTAGGGAGGAGGGTCACTGTGCGGGAACTAGCAGGTGGCTGTGGGCTGCCTAACAAGTCTCCTTCTGCCTTTGCAGGGGCTTCGGGAAGCAGGGGTTCCAGTGCCAAGGTAGGTACCATGGCTGTGGAGCTCTGACTGTGTCCTTTGTGGGGAGAGATGATGAAGGGGACTTTACGGAAGTGAACGACTTAGGCTGAGAGTGAAGGAATCCCTTCTGTGAGGCTAAGAATTCATCACAAAAGGGACCTTTTAAAGGGTGTGTGTGTGTCTGTGTGAGGGGGCAGTGATGTTCCAACCCAGAAATGCCCGTGAAACTGGGAGGCCCAGAATGCCAAGGAAGAGCCATTCACTCTTTCTCCCTTCTAAGCATCTGGAGAGGCAAACTGGGGCTCCTGAATCTTCCCTGGGTCCTGATACTGGCGGAAGTGTCTCCAGGACCGTTTCTGAGAGGACTCCTGCTCTGCTGCCCCCCCCGGCCTGTCGGCTCACTTGCCCTTCCTTGTATCATAGAGTGAGGTGCTGCCTCTTCCCCCGCCCCTCGGAGAGCCCTGCAGGTGGCTGCCTTCTCTGCAGATGGTGCCTCCCTTAGAAAGACAACTGTGGTTGTCCCCTCGGCTTCCTCCTCTCTGAGAGAGAAGGTTCCAGGTGGGGTGCTTTTCAGATCCTCATTGAAATTGCCCTTTCTATCTTCTGTGGGGATCCAGACAGGACTGTAAGTGACTGGTTACCTCAGTCCTCTCCTCATGTCTGCGTTGACCTCCTTGACTCTAAGTGGGGATGTGCCCAGCTCCGCAGTGGTGACTTTTAATCTCGGCTGTCTGGGGCTAATGGTTTAAAAGACAGGTTGCAAATGGGCTGCCTGCGGTAGACTTGTTTAGTCCTTAAGATTTGCTACTTGCCTTTGAGTTGATTCGGGCTCCTGACAACACCGTTTGTGGAGACTGGGATTGTCCAATATGGTTTTCAAGACTGGGACGTTTTGAAAGCAAATCGCCAGACCTGTTTTCCCGGACACCTCTGGGTGGGTTTGAACCGCCAGCCTTTTGGCTGGCAGTCCAGCACTTAACGACCTGCCCTGCCTCCCTGCCCGGGTTTAACCTTTAGGGTGTCTTAAATGTGTTTTGAATTTGATGTTCACATTTTAGGACTGGGAGATTTCACATACAAACGACAGTTCCCACTTTGGTAAGAAATGGTCCCACATTTCTTGTTACAGCAGGTCCTTTGGAGCTGGGGAGCAAATGACCTTCAAAGATTGGGTATGCATTTGCCATTTTGTCATAGTCTGTCCCAACCAGGCCTGTTTCACCCATTTCTGGCCTCTGCCTGGTCCCTGTGGGCATTTAGTTAACACCCTCTGCTCTGGAAAGTTTTTTTTTTTTGCCCCCATTTTTGGGCCAGTTTGGTGAGTTTGGTGAGAAATGTCTCATTTCTGGGGTGTGACGTAGTGTCACATTGACCACTGGGGTGAGCTGGGTTAAAATCAGGAGGAGAAAGCCTTTGAGCATTAGAATCTGACATATGCCTTAGCACTGAATGACGGTTTCGTGGTTGCATGCCTACTGTCCTGGGAAAAGTAAAGTGATCCCTGGCGAGTAGAGGTGGCACGGTCAGTTGGGCAGAATGCTTGACATCATGCTGCTGCTGTCCTCTGAGCCTCATAAGCCCTGTCACCTGAGATTTAGGCCTGGCCTGGTTCTCGAGCAGCCGAGCACACCTACCCAGCCTCTCACTAGAAGATTTGGGCTTGAACTGTTTGCTCAAACTTTGTCTGTCTGACCTCCTCAAACAAAACACTGACGTGTCTTGGTGCTAGAATGTGAAATTTCTTCTTTGAGGTTGCCTTTCACGTCCATGAATCAGTTTCTGTCTTTGGCTGTTGCTGAGGCCAGGGGTGATTTGTGAAAACGTTTCTATTGCTCTCTTCCTGTCCCACCTGCTCTGCTGTTGGTGGTGGTTGGGAAAGGCACCTCGGGAATGTGCGGGTGATGATGGAGCTCATGCAGATAGGAAATCGCTTTACTTGAAGGCTCGAAAATGATGGGAATTTTCCAGTGGTGAGAGAAAAGCAGATTTAAGGTTTCCAATGAGATGTGGGCACTTTAGAGGTAGGGGTGCTCATTCATTTATTTATTTTTGTTTGTTTTAATCGCCTTTCTTGAGAGGCAGTGTAGTGTAGTGGTGGTGTGCAGAGGTTATCAGGCAAGTCTCTGTGGGTTTGAATACTGGCTTTGACACTTCTTAGCCATTTTACTTAGCCTCTTTGCCTCAAATTCCTTATCTATAAAATGAAGCCATTAACAGCACCTGCCCTAAAGAGTTCCTGGGAGGCTTGAAGTTGATGCAATGCATACAATACTTGGACTGGAGCTTTGTACAGGATAAGCACTCAGAAAATATCAACTTTTATGGTTGCCCCCAAACTCCCCTGATGACAGAGCAGCTGGAGAGAGAACACTGGCTCTGCAGGGTGGCTTTGCTACGGAACTGGCTGCCAGGTGAGGGTCAAAACCCAGCTGTGAACAGCTGGTCACCCTATGGCACGCCTTCACAGTGTATTCTGTTTGAACTGGAGAGGTCAATGGAAGGAGAAGTGAGAGAGTGGTGGGGCAGATTGGCAGGCCTTAAAATTGAGATGATTGGGATGGGGATATCCCGGAACAGGGGAAAGGTTACCTCTGGGCTCAGAGTTACCTAGGAATAATTCTAGAACCCTAAAGGAGCTCTGGTAGCATAGTGCCTAAGGCACTTGACTGCTAACCAGGAGGCTGGCGGTTCAAACCCACCAGCCACTCACTCCTCGGAAGGAAGGTTGGGCAATCCTACTTCCATAGTGATAACTGCCTCGGAAACCCAAGGAGGGGTCGCTAAGAGTTGGGGCCGACTCGATGGCAAATAACAACAACAAAGGAGTTCCTATTCGCTGGTTAATTTTAGGACCACAGCTTTGGTGGTAGAGTGTATGTATTTAAAATGAGATCAACATTTTATAGAAAATACTTAAGGTTTTATTCTCTAGTGTAAGTTAGTAGTCTAGGCTCTGGGTTCTTGCAGCTCTCTGTTCCACCATGCCTAGGGAAGGACTTTTGTCTCATGATCCAAGAAAGAACCTAGAATCCCCAGTCACTATGTCTTCATTGCAGCCAGGAGGAAGGAGGAAAGGGCCAAAGAAAGGAAAAGGACCCACTGTCAGTGTCACTTGTAGAAGCTGCCACAAGATACCGTTGCCTAAATCTTAAGTGTGTAGAACTTAAGCACGTACCCACACCTTGCTGCAAGGTAGAAAACAAAAACAAAAACAAAATCAAACTCACTGCCGTCAAGTCGATTCCAACTCATAGCGACTCCTCCTTGGGTTTCCAAGGCGGTATGTCTACAGAGGTAGAGAAGGGAGAGAAAATCCTCTGTGATTCTTGGGTAGGAGGTGTGAGTGTGATTACAAGGCAGGGAAGCCACTGAGTGCTGCCTCCACGCTCCATAGCGCTGTTGTGGAACCTGGGTTGGGGCTATGGTGTGGGGTTGGGCCAGGAAGGATGAAAAGCTCATAAACCTTGGGAAATTATGGATTTCTCTGTGCACAGGGAGCTTCAAATGAGATATTTTTCATTCTTGTACTGTTAGAGGCAAAACTCTGACTGCCACATTCTCTCTTCGTTTTTGTTTCTAATTTTTTTCTTTTTTAAAGAAACCACTCTGTGAAGTAGTTTAAGAATGCGGCTGTTGGTGGAGACGGGGCTGAGTGTCCTTATTGTGAAACTGCCTAAATTCTGGGCTGGAAGTGGGGCCCCTCAGAGAAGTGAGGCAGACTGCTATCTGTAGCGTTCTTTACAAGCACCTGAACCTGCATACATGCCTCCATTGTGAGCCAAGCCTTTGGGAGGAATTAGACTCTTACCCTACACAGTCTTTGCAACATGGCAGGGAGAAAACTTTTGTTGTTGTTGTTTTTAAAGGAAGTCAATTCTGTAGAAACAAGGAGGCAGTAGGATACAGAGGTTCAGAGTTCAGAGTGTGGGTCTGGATTTAGGCTACTGGATTCGAACCTGTGGTCGACCACTCATTCGCTGTGTGACCTTGGGCAAGTCATTCACCCTTGGTAGCCTCAGTTTCCTCATCTGTAAAATAGGAATAGTGGTACCTACCTCATAGGGTTATGGTGAGGTGTCAGTGAGGTCATGCTTGGGAAATGTCCGCAGTAAGTAGCAAGGCCTCTAGGTGGAATGATCATTATTACTGTAGGAAACTGTGTTGCAGTGGGACAGAGTTAATTCTGGAACTCGTTAAATGACTGTGACTCTTTCATGTATTTAGTGGGTTTTCCTCTCAGATGTGTTGCTTCAAAGGCCTTGGATAATACCAGTGAGGACAGAGCTTAGCACCTGGGTCCGGGGAGCCAGGCACTGTCACATTTGTCCAGCACTGTCCTCCCTCACCCCTTTCTTCATGAGAAAGCTAGAAACTTGCTGTGAACTCTCTAGAAAAATCCCAGGGCACTAATTTTCTGACTGTGAAAAGCGAGAATTGATGATTTTAGTGAGTAAATCAGATCTTCCCTTTCTTGTGTGGATTAGAAAACATATTTTTGAATTTTTAATTAAAATTATTCTAAAAAACACCAGAGCACTGCATGATGAACTCAACCGTTGCTGTTTTCATCATCAACTCTAGAGAATATGAGTTTATTTCAATGTGTAGTTAACACATAGAAAGAACTCTGATGGCACAGTGGGTAAGGCATTTGGCTGCTAACCAAAAGGTCAGTGGCTCAAATCCACCAGCTGCTCTGTGAGAGGAAGATGGGGCAATGTACTCTGTAAAGATTTACAGCCTTAGAAACCCTATAGGGGTCACTATGAGTCAGAACTGACTCCATGGCAGTGGGTTTGGTTTTGGTTTTAACACATTGGGCTAGGTACTATACATACATACATACATACATACATACATACATATATATAAACTACAAGAAAAAATAAACCCAGGGTTTATTGACATTGCCTGCAGTTTCCCACAGTGCAATTTGATTTCTGGTATAGTTTTCCCTATAGGCTTATTATATGGCATCCTGCACTTCAGGTGGCAATTTCTCAGTAGAGTCATAAAGACCA